TGCGCTATAATCGAGCGTAAGAACAAAATGAATCGTGCATAATCTTAATGACATGCCTATCATCGCATCGGATACCGTGCACTCGCTGATTGCACGCTGACCGCGAAATACAAAGAGTTACGAGCTAGGAGAGGCTGCTTCTTATATCGAAAAAAAAAAAGAAGAAAAAATCCGGCGACAAATATCAAAGCGTTGCATTAGCTTTATCTCGACGTTTTATCCGTGATTCATGCGAGCTGTAAATAACGACCTATTCCGAAAGCATATCTCTCTTCTCCTCTCTCTCTCTCTCTCTCTTTCTCCGGTTCTGGTATGTGCGTATCTAAGTTTGCGAGCGAGCCAACGAACGACGAGACGCTAGATCGTCTCGCTCGATTCCCCGACATGCCCCATCTTAACTTTCCCCCCCGTCGACATCCCCGCCCGGCTCTTTCCCTTCTCGTTCCCGCTGTAAAGCCCGGCTTCGAATCCGGCGATATCAACGGATTACTTTAGCGGACGTAATAAGGAAGATAGCAATACCGTTAAATCGATACGCTCCTACGCGAAGACGAGCATCGTCCTATTCAACGATCGCGATTCTCTCCCGTCGCGAGAACCTCGCACGTGCTCGGAGGGAGGGCGGGGGAGGGAATAAAACTCGGCGCGCCGAGTTTGAAAATATTCCGCCCTGGCCCACGCATGCGCTCTAGGAGAACCGGATACGCGTCCGGGACGTCGGGGTAGAAATAAGATATTATAATCTCGCGGAGGGTCGTAAATATCCTTGCGGTGTGACGCGGGCGTTACATAAAGTCGCGAGACATGTTACACGGAGCCGTGCTCTCGCGACTCGTTTACCATTCTCTCTCTCTCTCTATCTCTGACAGGATACATATATATATTTCCTTCATTTTTTAATTTTTTTGCCATCCGGGACTTACACTCTCGCGTAAATACGTCGTCCACTCAAATCTGGCGCGATTGCACCGCCACTAATTAAGGCGCATCGCTCGTAGATTCGTGCGACATCTCCTATACGTATGTCGATGCACGTGTATTTTGTTTGATTTTATTTACGCTTTGAAATGTATACATATGTAGGTATAAATAGATGAGAAATGTGTTGAAATTGTATGAGAACGGATAGATTAAGATTTAATATTATTTATAAAATGTTCCTCGTAAAACACGTCTATTTATGCCGAAGACAAGTAAATTAATGTATTCATCTACGACGAAGAAAATGGCGAGAGCGCTCGAATGTTGAAAATAACTTTGTTGGTAGGATATAACTATGATCATTAAGTATCTTAAGAGGAATCCGTGAAACTCGTTAATTAAGAGATCTACGATGTCTCGTGGGTGGTCTCTCCTCGATAATTGTAAAGGAAAGCAGAAGAGAGAGGAGGGAAGACGGTAGAGAATGTACAAGGATCAAAGACTTATAATTCTCTGTTTTCGGTGACTGTGTAATCATTTCGGTATCTTGTCGAGCATCGTATCGTTCCTCCATTATTTCTCACGACAAGAGACAAGACCATGTTAAAATTATCAAATTTTAATAAATATGCCGCATAGAAATCGTAATCAAATTAATGAAAAAAGTCAAAGGCGAAAAAGGAGCGATTATGAAAGAGTTTTGTATTAATCACAGGAATTTTTATCATTTTATTTGTTTACAAGTTTATGTATATTCATTTTATAATATCGTATATATCGCAGAAATAAAAAAAATTAATAAGATATTTTTGTATTATTTTCATTTTTTGCATATGCTTATTATCAATAAAAATATTTATTTGAAAGTATGCTTTGCAATTCCGGACGAATAATTAAAAAAATGATATGAATAAAAGTGCCAAAAGAAATAGATGCAAAATCTATCTAAAAAAAACCGAGAGAAAAATTATGGCGAGCAATGATCCACGTCTGGATTTAAATAAGTTGGACTAAATGCGCGTTATCAAGATTATATGTACATGTCATCGTCGTTCTTACTCAATCTGCTGCGGAAGCATCCTATTAAGTCCATCTCGCTCGGAGGGGCGTTCTTCTTCGATCGTCTCGTCTCCATGCGACGGCGTCTCTCGTGCGCTTTGTGAGAATTATACGCGTATAACATGTCGAAAACGTGTTTCTGCACCGCGCTCTAAATGCGTCCTTCGCTTACGTCAACTCGCGCATTCGTATTTGCGTGACGATATCAATTACCCGGTATTTTTCTCCCCCGGTTTTCTTTCGGCGAGCCGGTTATACTCGCCGTTGATCGCAATTCGCGGCGACGTGATACGCGACATTATAAAAATACCCCCGTTCAACGTGTTGGGGGGCATCGCCGGTAGCCATTACTTCTCTCCGGTAACGTCGGATTACCGTCGCGTTACGTTCCCGACGATAAATGCAGCCCGGCACTCTCTTTCGCGGGGATATATGTGTAGCACGCGATATATACGTGCTCGCGCCAAGAGACATTATAATGCGCCCGGGTCATCTCTATTCCGCATAGCGTACACCCTCGATACCTTCTCGCCTCTTTTGCCTTTTCCTTTTTTTTTTTTCGCCTCTATTTCGCCGTGAAATGAAACTGTGCGACGCGTGCAACCCTGCTCGCGCTCTCTCCTCTCTCTCTCTCTCTTTCTTTCCCTCTTTCCCCTCCCTCTCTTCTCGCTCGCGCGCGCTCTCACCTTACTCGGCTTCTCCCTCTTTCGGTATTCGGCTCTCCCCCTCCCTCTCCCGAGCTCATCCAAAGCTGAATGCGTTTGCCGTTCCACACCCTTCCTCGCTCCCTTCCTCTCTTTTCCGACGGTTTTTCTTCCACCCCCCTGCCCCTCCCGCCCCCGAGCCCCACCGCGCCTCTCCCTACCAGCTCTTTCTCTCATCCGCTACGTTGTAGCCAGCCCTTCCCCACCTTCTGTTCTCTTACCAACCGGGCCGCACGAGAATACATATTTTACAGGCATTCATGATGGCCGCCGCACATCTGTGCGAACCTGCCTGCTGGGCTGTCTCTGGTCTGCCTCGGGCAGGCTCGCCCCTTTCGAACCAGAGCGATACCGGATCTGCCCAGGCTCTAACCCTGCGTTGTCTCTCTTTCTCTCTTCGATTGTGATATTATACCGTTGAAATGCGTTGCAGACGCATAATAATAAATATTTGTATCAATTAATTTATTCATTTTTAATATTTTTTGTAGAAATATCGAATTACGATATTATTCAATTATATATGAGGCACATATATATGGATAATATTACCGAAATAATTTATAAAAAGAAACGAAAGTAAATACGTAACACATTATTTCATCAGAGATATCGTTTACCGTAAAAGGCTGATTAAAATTAAAGATTGTGAGTGGACAGTGATATATCGAGATATAATTAAGAAAAGTGAGTGCGAAAAAAGTGAGACATGGGATATTAAGTAATAATTACCTTTGCGAGTAGAAATTTATACCGATAAATATACGTTCTTGTTTAGAAAAGTGAAGGAAAATTATTTAATGTATTTTAATTAATGCACAATATCATTCCATTACAATAAAACATTTCATTTAATCATGAATCGAATAATAATGTGAGCTGAGGCAAATAAATACATTAATTATTCCACACCTTCTGTGCATTTCCAATATAGATTCCCGATTAAAAATTTCTTTCGCACACACACACATGCACACGTACACACAATATCGTATATATTTGTACACTAACATATATATTTTTTATATCATAATTTTATTCGTCAATAATTATATTAAATTATTATATTAATTATATTAAATTATATATAATATATTCAATATCATATATACACTTCTTTTCTCGAATCCATCGAATGATTCTTCGGCCAGATTCTGAGCGCACACTATGCATGAGACGGTACATTATAATTATAAAATTATAATTGTAAAATTTTATGTTAATTTACATATATATCCTACCCCCTCGCCTATTATTCTGGCATCATTCCGTTCGGACGTCCCCCTCCCCCCTCCTAGCTCTTTTCTTCCCCCCGTGTCTTCACGCGTCCTACCTCTTTCTCTCGCTCTCCAGTTTTACGACGGTTTACCGAGAGATGCGTGCAAAGTTATTGCCACCGATTTTAGTGTACCTACGTTGCTTATGACTACATCGGCTCCCGAAAGCCCCACGCTAAAGCCTCGAGGGAGGATCGAGTTTTCTGTCGGTGGCCTCGCTCTCGTTTCTTTTTTTTTTTTTTTCACGGGATCCGGACGATTAAGTTCGGATTTTCATGGTGGCGTTTCTACGGCCGTGCTTCTTTATGCGGTATCGCTTAACTAGATACCACGGAATTCCTTTGCATATATTAGGATCCCAGTCGCGAGATGTACAGAATCGGGCAAAAGTATGAATTTAATGTGACTGAGAAATTAAAAGAAATAATTGTATCATCCATTTCTTATACTCGCAAGTCGATACAATGTGACGTTTCATGTTTGAAAATTTTATTAAAAATATATAATATTATTTCAATAAGATTTATGTCGGAATTTTAATAAAATTTAGATACATTATTTTGAAAGTAATATTACTTGTTATTAATCGTATAAAAACCCGAAATAAAAATGTATTATTTATATAAATATATAATCTATATACAAAATATAATGTATAAAATATGATATAATAAAAAATAAATAAATGAAAATAAATATCTTTATCCGAATTCTAAAACCATCTGCCAATTCACAATACAAAGTATTAATAGAAAAATTAATTATAATAAATTTGAGAAATGAGACTCACTAGAGATATATTTATATTAAAGTTTGACATTATATGTGGCTATTAAAATTAAAAAATACATCTTGTTAAAATGTTATTAATTACTTTTATTATTTTCCCTTTGATTTTTAAATGATTCAAGTTACTTTTTAAATTATGAAAAAAATAGAAATGTTAACAATAAAAAAATTCTAAAGGAGTAAGATTCCATTCATCTTTAATCTATAATAATAATGAATGAAATAATCGCATATTGTGAATAAATTTAAAACGAGAGAAACTAAAATTATCATTGAAAGACTTGGTTTTTTCTTCGGCCAAGTTCTCTTCGAAGGCTTCGCTTATATTACTGATCTAACTATATAAGCATGCTTGCATGCTGCATGCATACATGTTTACATGTGTGACGTTGTGTAGAATATCCGTAAACAAGTGTCTTGGATTGTGTCGTGCAGATGGCAGCACTCAGCAAGGTTTATTCCGTACGAAGGTCAATACAACCGAAGTTTAAAGGAACTCGGTCTTTCATTCAATAAAGCTTAATCGATACAACCGATTGAATTTTTCTCAGATTATTGATACGATATAGCACACAATTTCTTCTCATTCGTGTAATTAAATTTATCATCAAATAATCAAAGCTATCAAATATCAAAACTGAGGATTTTTATTTTTTCATACAATTGCCCATTATGTATCAATATATCTTAAATTCTATATCAATTAACTCTAACAAATGCAATGCCTGTTTGAATTGAAGTAAAAATCTGACTCACCATTCTTTAAATGCTGCAGATTCGACTTGGCCCACTCGACCCATTCTTCTCGATTTATGGTGAATGGAGACAAACTACTCGAGCTAATAATTTTCGCCATCGCATAGTTTGTAGCAAACTAATGCGCGAGGTCGTAACCTTAGTGGACAAAGCGTAAGTTGGAGAGACCGTCGCGAGGGAGAAACGAGGAAGGAAAGAGGTGAGACAAAAGTACAGGGGAAAGATGGCACGGTACATTTGCGCGAGCCCTCTCTCTCTCTCTTACGAATGAGAGCGTCGCCCAATAAAAACGTCACGATTCAGGGGCGAGGAGTTTCTGGGTGGATGCCGTCTGGTGGCGCCAGGCTACACCGCGTTCTCGATCCACGGGGAGTTGCATAAAGCTCGCCGTCACGCGTAAAAAATCAGCGAGTGGTGGGGAGAGGCCACGGGGCGAGACGATATCGCACACAGAGACGCGGTGAAATCAAATCGACGCCAGCTCGCTTCGAAGGAAGGGCGATAGCGGCAAAACTAAGCGTCGAGAAAAACAGAGAAGATATTATATGAGAGGGCAGTCAAAGGGAGAAAGAGATAAATAATGGACGGAGACAGAGAAAGGTAAAGAGGAAAACTCTTGCGGGAGAAAAATGGCTACGAAGTAGACGAAGAGAGCACAAATGGAGACAAACGGTAGATGAGCGAGTAACAGAAAGGGATTGATCGATCGTGATGAGAGCAAAAAGGACGGAACAATCTGGAGAGAAGCAGTAGGTGAACGAAGGAACAGGGACAATAAGGATGAGAGAGAGAGAGAGAAAACTAGATAGAATAGGTGCGAGGTAGAGAGAGAGGTTGTCCCCCGGACGCAACGGAAGGGACAAGGAGAGGGAGAGAGGTAGAGACAAAAAGGAGAGACAGAGACGGAGCGAGAGGGGTTGGTCGACCCTGCGCGTTATCAAGAGCCGCCCCTCCCGGTCGCCCCTATATATCCACCCCGACTTTATATACCCCCCGTGCATCCAAAGAGTACATGCATTCGTGTGTGCGGTGGTGAAAACCCACACAACGTTGACGTGGCTCGTCCCTGGACGCGCAGAGCGACGCCGCATGGCGTCGGCGTCGCGAGGTCGACCCGGCGCTACTCTTCTGACGTCGTCGGAGGAAGCCGCTTCTTCGCGGCGCGTTCCTGGACGGAGCACCACCGCGAGAGCGCCGAGCACGAGGAAGAGACCGAGAGAGCCCGGATTGTCGTGAGTGACGTGCAAACGCCGCGACGCCGACAGTCGTCCGCGGGACGCGTCACGATCGTCTCGAGAGAGATCGACGCCTAATCCAGCTGCAGCCACGCTCCCCCGAGTCGACGTCTGACGTGCGGACGCGCGGCGCCGATATACGTCACCGATCGTCTCTCTCTTCCTCGCGCGTCTCCTCTTGACGATTTTCGTTCCCCGGCCGCGCATTCTTTCCCGTTCTATCCGTTCCTCGCTTTCGCGTCCTCCCCCATTTCCGTCTCGCTCCCGTCGTCCCGTCTCTCTCTTCCTCCTCGATGCGTCGAGCGCTCCGTCCACGACTCGGCGGACGAAAGGGACCGAGCGCATCCGCTGTGAACGTCACTCGTAGCATGTAGACCGAGCGGAGCTGTCATTCTTGTACGTCGCGAGGACGGAATCGGAGTGCCTTCTGTGATTGACGACCCCTCGATCGGCCCTTCCAAGCCCTCAGTGCGCGGTGCTCGACGTATCGTTCGGAAGGATCCTACGTCAGATTTCACATATCGGATTGATTTCAGTTGGCGAGGCTCGAACAAGATCTACGACGCGACGATGATGCCCCGGGAAAAGGTTGCCGGATCGCGGACAGAGAGAGGGAGAGATACGGGCGGAAATGATATAACGAGCAATCAGGTCAGTATACTCTCTCTACGAATTTCTTTCTTCCAGTCTGAAAATACTTCTACACCCTGTATTACGATGCGATCGCGCGCGTAAACATATGTAATGTACGTTGCATGCTCATGGCACGCAGATGGATATTGATCGATTGTCGCGCGAGATGCCTTACATTTCGAAGTGGCCCAAACTGCAGGCAACCGGTCCGACACCCCGGCATGCTGGGCTTCCAAGTTCCACTTGGCTTTTCGGGAACTACGGTTCCATTCATAGGCGAAAGATTTTACGACCGTTTAGTCACCGTCTTCTACTCCTTTTTTTCTCGTTTGCATCCTTTTAGGAACGCGTTACATAAATCATCAATCTATCGTCCTCGTGCAATTTCCGAGATTAAATCTTTCGGTCGACCTCTCTTACCGTCCAGCCTCCAATATCCATTAATAACTCGAGTGTTATTTATGTGTATCCATAGGTAAACTCGAGACACCGCCATGAAAAGTGAAACGCGTACTCCAGGCGCTACTCCTGACGCTTTAAGACGTGTTCTTTGAGCGATTGATTCAATCGGATCGTCGCAAGATTACTCGACCTTATCGTAAATCAACAACGTTTGATGAGAAGCAGCAGCTCATGGCAGCCTAACATTGAATCAGGCCTTGTCCGCGGTCAAGACTGTTTGCGGTGAGAGACGTGAGTGTATTAAATATTTCTTCCATGCGCGAAACTTTAATTAGAGAAATTAATCAAAACTTTACCTCAGACTCAAGAGTGGAAGATATTAACGATCGACGTCGTCTGCCGCATCGTGCCAGCAGTTCCGGAAGATGTAACGCGATAGACTACTGTACGCAATGCCAGACAGCCGTCGATCTTATCAACCTTGGCATCCTTGGCAGGAGCGAGGCGGTATCCGATGAGGAATGTGAAACCCCCTGTACGTATACTGAATGTATCCTGAGTGTATTCCTGTCCGGTATACCTTCAGTATACGTAACAGGAGGCTACACCGAACAACGCTGGACTTCTTCATCGGCGTATATTCCCAAAGCCTATCTTCGTGCTATAAAACATAGAATCTTAAGAATATAGAGAATAATTTACGCATAGAAATAAAAATAAATAGAGCAAAGAGATATAGATTTTATTCATCTAAGATGTAAGAAATTATCTACCTAATGAATATATCCTTTGCTTATATTATACATATTTTTAATATAATAAATTTCAACACTTAGGTTTACATTGCGCACATCATTACACGTGAATTAACTGTAAAGTGCATCAATAAATTAAGTAAAGTATACCGATAAAAATATCGCACATAATTATATAGATATAATATTAATATGTATATTTATGTGTACATGTATACATATGTTGAGATATTTTTTAAATACTAAAAATTATGTTTATAACATCAGTAAATTAAATATTTATGATATTATTGCCTAGACATTCACATATACGTATACAATCTTTTCCTTAGTTTAAAGAAGCTTCAATTGTTTTTCAATGATAAATATTGCGTTTTCTTTCAATCGAGTTATAAAGATAAAATACTAATGACTTGAATAGTTTATAAAATAAAGATTTATATTACACGTTTAAAAATTAAACTTTGCTATACCGACAATTATTAGTATTAATTATTCTTATCCCTGTTGATTATATAAATCTACAATATAAATATACTCATGCAGACGGAATGTCTGATAAATCGCGACATAATATCTTGAATAAATTATACACTTTTTTATTAATATTTTTGATTAAGTAAATTCAATGATCATAATATATATATATATATATATATATATATATATATATATACAATATATACATATTCTTAATGAGATAAATGCAAAATGAGATATGCGTGTGAATTTGTACATAAGAATATATGTCCTGTTGTATTAAAGGAAATATATAAGAAATTTAAATTTTCAATTCCTTATATTACTTTCTCCAAGTGAAACATATAGATTTCTTACATAAAATACTTCATATATATATATTTTTTAATTAATTTATATATATATATATTTTTTTAAATTAATTTATATATTTGTATATTAAAAATTTTTAATATTTAAATAATATTTGAAATAAATAATTTTCACATTCGCTAATTATCCAAACTATAATGTCCATTTTAAACAGAGGGAGAGAATAACAAAATTTTCTCTCAAAATTAGAGATAACATAAATAGCGTTTCCTGTTGTACAAAAATAGAAAATATTCCAATCATTTTGAAATAAAGCGGATTTAAGGAATCTGCATAATCGTAATAAATGTTTTTAATTTCAAAAATATATTTACAGCTCTTTTGATATTTTCTTTTCAAAATTTCTCTTTTTTAGAATTCAATCGTTATTTAATAAATTGACTAAAAAATTAATGAATTCATAAAACTTGAATGTTCCGTTTTAAGAAATTATTGTAAATACGAATTAAAACGTCTTTTTTCTGCTAAATATTAAATTAAAATTAAAAATATCATTAATCATCCTAATCGCGTAAAGTATATTCATAATAATAAAACGTTATTTAAATTATATGTCTGTGTATAGATATGAAAAAAAAAACAAGTATTACATTATACTTACTTTATATGTATATACATAAAGAAAATAAATATAAAATTAAAAATCAGCTTTATATATTATATACTAAATCAATTATGAAATATAAAGTTTGCTAATAAATTTTCATCGAGATAAAGAAATGATCTATTTCACTCCGAAGACAATAATACTTTTAAAATAAACCTTTCTTCGCGTTTTATTATTGTATAGAAACAAACTTATGACAGACTTTCTCTTGTAAAGTCTCACTCATAAAAAGGGTTAAAAAGGGTTAAAAAGATATAATCCGAAACAGAGGTGAACGATGAATGAGTTTTGACAAGTCGAACGTCGGCGAAAGGGTTAGAGAAAGCGGCCGAGTACGATAGAAATAGAAGAATGTCTGGAAAAAGGGTGAGCCAGCTAATGGTGGGGCGAAAATTTCACTTTTTTAACCGGAACATGCCAAACGTCACTCAGTTTTCGTCAGTCAACGAACGAGTTTATACAAATAAACAAGTTATTTCAAGGTGTTACTCAAAGAAATTAGCAGGTAAGTTGCTTGTTTTATTGCATGATTTATGAAGTAGGTCATATAGATTCTTTTCTATCGATGGTAGGCTTCCTAAAAATTCATATAATATAATATCATTTCTGTCTGTCACCTGATCTTTTCACTATAATATTATAAAGGGGTTTATTACTCTTTTACACTAAAATTCAATATAATTTAAAATGATAGAGCAGAGGAGGAAGATAAAAAAAATGAAACATCATCTAATACACTTTTCAATTTTAATGGTCTACATTTCTCGTATGAAATTATTGTAGGATTAAGAAAAATTAATTTGATGCATTCACTTTGCTATATCAGATTAATGTTGCAAACGTTTCACAATTATAAATAAATAATACGATTATTTAAGCACTTATATATATTATATTTTACAAAATATGATTCTCGTCTTTTCGTTAAATTTTTATTGAAAACTTTAATTTCTGATAATACGATGAGTCCATTTATATCAGAGAGATTATATCTAAAATTTTCTGTTTACAGTAAAGTAAATCTTAAATCAAATTAGATGGAATAAAATTAATTTTATTTCCTTTTTTCTTTGTAATAAAATGACAGTGTCATAAACAACTATGATTACAAGAAATACCGTCGCCGATGTTTCGTTGACTGTATCATACAAATAAAAATTATAACACATTTAAGATGTTATCGCGCATTTAAGTAATTAAATTTGCGTAAAATCTTGACGTACTAAATATGCAGAATAGGGCAATAATTCGAGACTTCTTTTTCGCATGAACGAAGTGACGTGTGACAAATGCAATGCTTTTCCCCGCAAACGTAGCATGTATCTAAAATATCGAACTCGCAAAATAAATTTCACGTAGGCCCAAGGTAGAAACGCAAAGGGTCGCATGGTCGAAGGATGCTTCTGAACATGTCCGACAAACATGAAGAATAATAAAAAATAAACCTAACTTTACCGCGACGCAGAGAGACTGGTGGCGAGATAGTGAGGCGGAATTCGCGAGGGGAGAAGAAGGGAAGGTAAAAAGGACGAGCGGAATTTAGAACGAGACGGACGAAGACGTCAATTCGGAGCGAAACCCGGGAAAGGGACGGAGAAACGCGCCATAGGGGATGTTGGATAAAGAGAGCATCAAGTGCAGGAGGAAGGGAGATGGGACGACAGACACGTAGCGAGAAACGAAGCGAGACGGAAATGGAGAGGATCTCTCTCTTCCTTTCTCTATCGCTCTCTTTCTCTTTTCCGCTTCTCGCGGCCAATGAGTCGCCATCGTTTTGGTGGCCCAACCCTCGGAGCAACATGGCCGCCAAGTGCAAAAGGGAGCTTAAGTAAGGGTTAGGTTAGAGCTAGGCTCGTCCTTCTGGACCCGTCGCTTTTGTGAGAGCGAGAGCTGCGCGCGGACGGGGTGGGTGGGGGAGTAAGGGGTGAGACGTTGTCAGCCATCATGGGAGAGACGCGGGATAGGAAATGCAACGCACTCCGTATCTCCATGGTTCTGGAAACTTTCGAAATAATGGAAACGTAATCCGCGACTTTGGTGCCTAAATAACCCGAGATAATTGTTGTCTCGCCGGTTTTTATGACAAGTGTCGTTTCAATTTTCTCACGCTCGGGCGAAAAAATTTTACAATGTCAAAAATAGTGAATATACATATAGATTAAATAGTACTAACTAAAACTAATTGAAACTAAGTTAAATTAAACTAACTTAAACAGTTTTTCGCGAAGAGAGAAACTTGCCTAATATATTTACTATAATTAAATATTATTAAAAATACAAATATTAAATATTACAACAATATCGATATTAAATCGATATTAAATATATAAAATCTATATACGTCTATTACAATTGATAATCGCGAGTGATAAACGAGATTAGTTTTTATTTCGAGAAAAAAAGAATGCTTTGCAAAATGAATCGTGTTAAATTATTTTCTTACATAGGAAGAAAATAAATCGATTGTTATTGAAGATCACCTAGTATGTAAAACATAAGTTCGCTAATATTTGTCCTCTTTTATCACATGAATAATCCATGATTAGAGAGAAAATTTATAATAATATACAGTATTAACTGCGGGGGGCAAATTTCGAGAAAGTTTAAGAGATGAATTGCTATAATTCCATCATTTGCTTATCGGTAAAAATTAGACATTTATATAGAATAACTCTGAATAAGAATATCTTTAGTATAGCTTAACATCTTAATTATATATTAAAATTTGAAACTATCCAAAAAATATTTGATTCTAAATGAATATTATCGAAATATTTTAGATACGCGTGAAACAATAGATAAAATTTAGACAAAAGTTTTGATTTAATACTTTATCATATTATAAAAAATAAATTTATACATTTGATTATAATATTCATTTTATTTTAAAATCGCGAAAATAATAAAAAAACACGACTGTCTCAAAAAATCGAATATAATTTCTTAGCAAATTTAAACACATAATTGAGGGATGCATTAACTATACAAAGTCCTATTTGAAAACACTCGTTTGTACATCTCAAGACTTCAATTCATATTCGCATAAAACCAAAGATGTCGATTCGGCCTGTAGAGTTGTGTCAGTTTCAACTCTTTAACACGCGATAAAATGCTAATAAAACATCTTTTATTTTCTACGTTATTCGAGAGATAACATGCTTAAAGTTGATCGAAATCGGAGACGAACGCGTTTCCTTGTTAGACTGTAAAATCAGAAACGCAAGTGCGTTCGAGCGTTACTCAAAACGAGATAATACGGATCTCTCGAAGGCGTCTTAAAAATGCTCGAAAACATCGCGGCCCGCGCAAAAGTTCCAAGAGTCGAGAAGCGCGAAGGTTACGGCATAATGGCGTCAATTAATTCGATGTAAAATTGGAGAGGCGCGATTACCTCGCTCGTCTTACGATATTAAGCCTGAAATTCATAGCGAATCTGGCTAATTAATTCCCGTCCGTCTTATACGCGATTGACCCGCGAACGTACGTACATTATTGATCTCCCGCGAATACTCGCCATTTTACACCATCGTTCAAAATCCGAGGATATAACGTTACACACTTTGAAAAAATATTCCCTCTCTCTCTCTTTCTCCCTCGTATCCTGCTAAAGAAATTGAAAACTACAGAGCTAACGTACGACGAAGTACATAATACGAGATTCGCAACACAAATTCGGTTTATAATACCAGATTCTTGAGAGGAACTGCAATCGGCGGAGTCCCCGAGAGGTATATTTGCGAAAGAGTTACACTGTAAGGATACGTATTCCTCGATGTCGAATCGGCGTGGAATGCTCGCGGATTCGCATTACGCGCTTACCGACTCTCGGGCATTAATGTATGCGTGTATATGATCCTATCGGCGTCTGCTTCTCGCGGTGGGAAGCGTTTTTTCGTCTGAAAAACAGGAGGCGGACTTTGCGAAGGGAGAAAAAGAGAGAGAGAGAGAGAAAAGATAAGAGGAGCGCGTCGGCTCGTTTCCGAATACGAATGGTCATCGACGGTATCGGTTACTATAAATTGCGAAGAAAATCGTACCTATCTGCCGTAAAGGGTCAAGTAAAGTAACGAATTAACGGCGCAGGGTGTGTCGCGGAGAGCAAAGTGTCCACGTTCCCGGTGTACGTTTCTCAAGTAAGCGTCCCCTCGGCCGCCGCCACCGACGAGAGATCTCTGGCTGCGTCTGACGTAAACATGAATTTATAATGGCGTTGTACTTGGCAAACTACCTCTTAGGGAAGTTATAAATTACGTCTCCCACGACTAACAAGATAATGTCGATTGAAAAGGGATGCCCGAGGGGGATCCGCCGGAGAGAACGGGGTAGATTCATACCGAGAGGTAAACCTCGCGTACATTCTTGCGTTCCCCGACTTCGAATTAAGAGGAGAGTAATACTGCAAATAATACGAAGAACAAAATCATCAAGTGCAACATTTTCAACGTGAATATATAAAGAAAGTTAACTGTCAAAACGTATAGAATTAGCTTTACGTCGATCCAAAATGTTTGCAAGCGCAATTAATTTACATAAATCAGGAATCATCAATATAATAATTTGACATTTTTAACGATATGTCTGAACATAAATTTCCCTTGCGTACTATTTCAATGTGTATTCGTCTCAACATAATAAATAAGTACTTTTATAACGGTAATGATCAAATAGAAAGTTCATCGTTAAAATATAGAATTAATTTATGTCAATCTGAAGAATTTGCAGGCGTACTTAATTTAAATCCGAAAATCAAAACAATTCGATATCCGAATATAAATTTATCTATCTTGCATATGATTTTAATATATTCATCTCCATTTATTCAAATATATGATCAGTAATATATTTACAGAGAAATGGTATTTTTATAGCGGTGTGATGATGCAAAACTAAAATTTATCACAAAAATAAATTCACTTTGTTATTTGACGTGTCCATAATAATTTGCAATATCCGGGTTTGTACAACGCGAATGATCAAAAAATAAAATTCGTTTTTTTTTTTTTTGAACGATGAAATGAACCTTTTTTGAACGATGAAATGAACCTAATAACATTTTCCATCGATACATGATGTAATGAACAGCAAAAAGTCCTTAAAGGCAATTACATGTATAATCGCAAAACAATATTTTACATTTTCCCTGGTTACAATTAGCGTAAAGTACAGCCGTAAGAGGATACTTGCAATTAAAGTTGTAATAAAACACATGCGGTTTCGCTTCAGCGGTTCTTCATGATCGTCGGTCTAGAAAGTCGACACTGAAGGTCGACGAGAAAAATTGTTAGAAAACTGGTCCGCGTTGCGTTTTTTCTTTCACGAATGTAATCTATCACTCAAAAAAATGTTTTGCTAATGTAGATTTCTAGATGTCGCAACCAAAATTTATCGCTATTTTTTGTATCTGTAGAAAATTTTTGCTATAGTTGCAAGATCATTTTACTTCTTTGATACGTTGTCATTTTTACTACAACGCGTAATCATTTCCGCGAATCTTTTATAGCACTATCCGTTGCACTATTTTATGTGCATACCCATGTTATAAATGCCAAAAACCCGGAAATAAAACGAACATAATGGCCATTTTAATAGCCACTACCTCGAATTATATTCAATTTCTTCGCGATGTAATCTATTTCTTCATCGTACTCTGTTATTTTTCTAATTACGTTATCGGAAAGTACACAATTATGCGCAATAATTTCATGCTTCTTATCTATCTGTAATTGTCTCAAACTTACCACCCCTCGGAGCTCGACGACTTTCGACGACTTAGCATGTTAGTAATCTGCAATTAAAAATAAGAAAAGATGTGAGAGACTGAAAAAGTCGAATGGCATTTAAAACCTAAATTTTTACGAAACAAATCTCTGCTTTCGACATTTGTTTCTTCAACTATCAGATATTTTATGGAGCATTTCATAAGGATACAGAGAGAGAGAGAGAGAGATGAGAGGATGTAAAAAAATAGCCTAGAATGGTGAAAGCAACCTCATGGTGTCGCTGATGTGCCGCTTGATTCTACGCTAAAAAGGGTTAAGAGAAAGTCCCTTATTTATTGCGCTATAAAAGCGCCAGAAAAAGGATTCTTTTTTTCGAAGTCAACTCTTTTTCTATCGAACCTTTTACTATCGCCGTCGGCGTACTGCGGTTTCCCCAACAGTACGCGATCGTTTCATAGCGGGTAACTGAACTTCGTCTTTTACGAGATTGGAAGGGAAATCGGTTAGAAATTTTTTTCTCGCGTATTAAAAAATTGTTTAATTGAAAAAAAGAAGACACGTTAAAATTCATTATTTTCACACGAATAGGAAACTCGCAGATTCTTTATATTACACAAAGATGTTTCATTCGTGAGGAGATCGATAAAAAGTTATCAAGTGTCGCTCACAAGTTTTTTTCTCGCGTATTCAAAAATTGTTGAATTGAAAAAAAGAAGACACATTAAAATTCATTATTTTCACACGAATGAGAAACTCGCAGATTCTTTATACTACACAAAGATGTTTCATTCGTGAGGAGATCGATAAAAAGTTATCAAGTGTCGCTCGCAAATTTTTTTCTCGCGTATTCAAAAATTGTTGAATTGAAAAAAAGAAGACACATTAAAATTCATTATTTTCACACGAATAGGACACTCGCAGATTCTTTATATTACACAAAAATGTTTCTTTTGTAAAGAGATCGATAAAAAGTTATCAAGTGTCCCTCGCAAATTTTTTTCTCGCGTATTCAAAAATTGTTGAATTGAAAAAAAGAAGACACATTAAAATTCATTATTTTCACACGAATAGGAAACTCGCAGATTCTTTATATTACACAAAAATGTTTCGTGAGAAGATTGATAAAAAATTATTTTTTATGTTGCAAGCGTCCCTCGCAAACGTTCGAATTGTATCAACGGCGACACTGCGTGTTTAATAGAAAGTTCAATTAAAGGGATTGTGTGTCAATAGGAGACAATTGCGTGAAGGCTAGAGATGTTTAAGAGTAATAATCGGGTGTCACTTTATCGCCGCGGCCGCAATATTTGCGTGTACCTTGATGGAGACCAGGGTCCTTCATCGCGGTTTCCCCCCTTCGCGCGAACGATTTATGCATCCGTCGATGTATTCACGGTAACTTTGCCGCAATTCACACAAGTCACGGGGGAAACACTCGTATATACCCGGCGGATCATTTACGGGGAGAGAAACAAACCTCGCTCAATTAAATACAAATTGTCTTACATCGTCGGATATAAATTCGAAGACATTACGGAAGCCGATGCTGGTTTTACTATTATTTTCTCCCTTTCTCCTTCTCGAACGATATTCAAGAACATTTCTTCTCTCTCTTAAAATCCTTGAAGTCGTCTATTCCAGCATTCCGTATGCGAAATTAATTTGCGCGCGTAATCGCATCGAGCGTGTGCTTAATTGTGTGGCTAATTACAGTGCACTCGAGCAAGTATTTATCGAACAAATTCTCGTTTTTTTTTCTTCGTCACTTAATTTTCCCAGCAGAATCCTCGATAAGATAATCGATAAGATAGAATTGACATGTCCCGTGTGTACATTAATAATTCACTAATAGGACGCGGTAACTTTTTACAATACAGCTGTAAACGTCTCGCTATCAGTAACAGTTGTTGTAATTTTACGGTACATTAATCTACAATGCGCAATCCTTTTCGTTTTTATGTTTCTCTATAAAGTTTTAACTTTCTCGTCAAGCACTCTTTTTTCTTTCTGCCATAATCATTTCTCTTTTTGCAATAATCTTTTTATCGACGATATGATAACTATGATGATTGAAGTGCTTTAATATTCGTGTGAAACGTACATTATTTAGCAAAGTGATTCTTACTTTTTACATGTATATTAAGAATTTCAATTTGATCGATACGTAAAAATTATTTATATGTAAGAAAACGTTTTCGCTTAAATATATTATGAATAAAATTATTTCATTCGAAAGAGACCAACGGCAAGAACTATGTAAGTTATTAAAAATTGGAGAACATTTAGAAAATTTATAATATAATAATCAAATCTTAAAGAATATAATTTTAATCAAAATTTCTCAATGTCCCAAAAAGAGTGGCTTATTTTATTATTGAATAAAATTTGTTAAGCATTAAAACTCGGATGCGTATCTTTATGGAATACAGTGGCAACGTAATAGCAGTATGTAACTTCGGCAATAGAGCGCAATAAACGACAATTTCCTAGACCTAGATAACTTATGTACTTACATAGAAGGGGAGAGAGAGATAGAGAGAGAAAGAGGGAGAAGAGGGCCTCGTTGTGGATTTATCGCCGCATCTCGCGCATTGTTTACGTCTCGGACGAGGACATAAATCCTCATCCTAAAGCGCCACAAACTGTCTGCACCCACAGTTTGCACATCTCTGTGCTTCTGTTCCCTCGGACGACCACATATTCGTGTACTCTCTACAAGATGCATCTCGATAAGAAGAAACACCCCGCGTCTTTAAATAAAGATTCGTCCACCTGCTGCGATGTATATTGTTTTACAATTACTCATCTTTCTTTTTCATAAACTTACAAAGAAATCCATGTTTAGAAGCCATAATCTCCGGTACAGTAAAGTCCTGATTTTACAGACTCTTATATCCTGTCTTAAAGGGAACTACGGATTTAAAAGTTAAAAATGTTTTCACAGGCAGAGGGCAAGCTGTTAATTAACGGGATATGTCTCCATGTCGACAAATAAAAACTTTGTTTGTTTTTACGATTACCTACTGTTATAAAATATATTTATCAAAACTCTGAATTGATTTTAAAAAAAGCTTAAAATATTTAATAAACAACTTTTTACGGGCGTTAATTATTTGAGTTTACAAAGCCGTGATGATATATTGACAAAATGCAAAAATGTGATTTATTTAATTAACAATTGGAATAGAAAGCTTTGTAAAATTTGAGCGTCGGCGAAATTATACATCTCGTAAATTCAAAGAAAGCGATCGGCAAATGGAAACTTTGGCTTAATCGAGAATCAATATAGCCCCGTCGTTCGCTTCTCTAAGAAGTTCAGAATTTTTTACAAAGAGACTTCTCGTGTGAATGTCGACAGTTCTTGGACGGTAGATTTTTACCACGTCAGCGTTTAAACTTCAGATACGATGGCTGGATCATGCATGCGCAAGAAATATGAATCGGATAATATTGTGCCACTTGTGTGAAGTGCCTTCTATTTCTGCAACGGCACATTGATATAATCTTTGTAAGTTCAATAGAAACTAAATCGAAATCTCGATGATCCAGGTTTATTAAACATTTATCAAAATATCCTTAGTCATTAAATCATTGATATATATCGCGAAATTTATATATAATCGTGTAGTAAAGAAGCTCCAACAGCTATTGCGATTCTTCTGTGACTTTGTTAAAAAGATATCAATAAAGATATCAATAAAGTTTTAGGGAAAAAATCGCGAAGAAATCAATAACATGTAGCGAAGATAGGATGTATGGAGATTTGCACAACATCTTGAAATATTCTAGTAGTAACGTGCAAAAATATTTTACGAGGCTATAATATATCGTGATATATCGTAAATATTCTATAAAAATTCAGAGCTCTATCGCATAATCGTCAACAAGAAAGCAATATTATTATTTTTACGTTGACTGATCACTCGAAAATCTACTGAACGAAACGGAGAAAATTATTGCAGGCGAAAGAGATCACAAAAGAAATCAGCTACATACTTTTGAAAATAAAATCGATTCGATTAAACGCGTTTAATGCATTTGTAAAAAGATGATACTTTAATAATAAATTTAAATAAATGAAACAAAAATAATTGATGTAGCAATTACTTTCAATTTTTACAATTGCACATGCTTTGAAAATTATATATTGTATTTTCGAGGTTAAAATTTATAAAAGATGCTTATAAAATTTCCGAAATCTTCGTGTAGCATTACAAAAATTTTCTGTTTCTAATTTAAAAGTTTCCAAGTCGAAAAGAGAGATCAGAATTCGTACAATATCATCTCGAGTTATCAGATATCGAATACAACGATATTTGGATGAGAATCAGGTCAACTGATCGTAAGTTCAATCGCTTACTCTTATAGCATTGCTTTTCTTGCAAATAAAACTGACATTTCTCTTACGTAAACTTTTACGGGAGGAAAATCTTGCACGCGTATTCCAATCTCTGCATCCATATATCTATACGTATATGCATAACCGCAAAAAATATCATTTAGATTTATCTCAGATAGATTGCGTCGCACATGAATGACTTTCAAAAATGAGTCCAATAAGTTTCGCTAAGATTAGACAATAACGGAAAAGTATTTCGTGTCAATCTAGTTTAAGAGACGAAGGCAAGGACGTGACGATCGAAAAGAGAGCCATACTCGAGAGCAGAGGCGGTTCGATCGCGTCTCGCTCCCTCGATCCAGCCATCGCGATTTAGCAGCGGTCGACGCAGACACGTAGAGGACGAGAAGTTGGAGAAGGTACGACAGGAGGGCAACAACCAGGTGGAAGAGGACGAGAGAGGGTCGAAAGCAACCCTCCGTTCCTTCAGCGTTTCTCGGAATAATCCGGCGTATAAATTGGATTGTTGGTGGGACATGGAAACTGAACTGACGGCAGGGAGGAGAGAAGGACCGACGCGTTGCAATAGCGAGACGAGGAACACGTATCTATATAGACGCGCAAATACTCGCGTATACACGTGCTCGATTACACACAGACATACATACACGTATATAAATACGCATACATGGAGCAGTTCCAAGCACCTCGTGATTTCGGCTGCGC